AGGTAGGATCATTTTAAACTTTGTCTAGTATTTGATTGCTTTCCTTTCTACTTTCCTGTTTCTGCCTTTCTTGTTAAGAAGCATGATAAGAATTCCTTACTCCCCTCTATCTGAGGGGATGATGGATGCAAAGGGTTTAATATTAGTACTGGAGAGGTAGGCACTCAATATATGTCAGCTACTGTTACTATTATTGTTGGCATGTACTTTTATAAGTTGACTTTATATTTTCTTTTTCTTGTGTCAGTATTGAGGCTTGAACTCGGGCCTGAATATGTCCCTTAGCAATGTCATTCAAGGTTAGCGCTCTACCACTTGAACCACAGCCCTGGTTCTGGCTTTTTAGTGGTTAATTGGAGATAAGAGTTGGTTATACTTTCCTTTCTAGGCTGGCTTTAAGCCACAGTCTTCAAGTCTTGGCTTCCAGAGTAGCTAGGATTATAGGTGTGACCCATCAGTGCCTCTTATTTTCCCTCCCTCCTTCCCTACCTTCCCTCCCGTCCTTCCCTCCCTCCCTCTCTCCTTCCTTCCTTCCTTCCCTCCCTCCCTCTTTCCCTCTTTCTTTTCTTTTTTCTTCTTCTTTTTTTTCCTGGTACTGGGAATTGAATTCAGGACCTCATGCTTGCAAGCCAGGCATTCTTCCACTTGAACTATACCACCAGCCTGACTTTGCAATCCTTTCACTTGACCAGGTTTTATAAGTGACAAATTGGAGAAATACTGAGAACTTTATTATATTTTTAGTTTTCTTTCAGGCTAATGGTGAAATAAGGCACTTTCACAAAAATTGATGGATAAAATGTCTTGTTGATCCTCCCTCAGCTGAAAGGAAGAGAGAATCTTTTAACCTCTGAATCCTGGGAGACACAGTGTTTTGTTAGATGAACTTGAGATGGAGGATCTGTGCATCCGAAATGACAGAGGAATAAGGGACAGCTGTTTGAACCCATTTTGAAAACTCAGACTGAATGTAGTATAGGTATGTAGATGCTGTCAGAAAGTAAAGCTCCCTTACCAGCAAGTTAAACTCCATGTGAGGGGTTGCATGAAGTGTTGGGATAGCCTTAGAACAGACTGTAGGAACTGAAATGTATCTCTGAAATCTAGGCTAGAGTTGGTGAAACTCTTCCTCATAATTGGTGTAGGCCAAAGCCAATGATTGGTGTGTTTTTAGCCACATAATGCTCATGGAAGTGACTTCGAGAGCAGTCCTTATTAGTGGCAATTTCTGACTGACCTTTGAAGAGGGGAATATTCCGTTGCTTCATTGAAAAAGTGTTGGGCAGAGAGTAGGATTTCATTAAATTTACCAAGGAGAAAGCTTGTCATGGCTCCCTCCCGGAAGGAAAATAAAGGATGCAGCCAGGTGGGTACTTTGGAAAGTACTGCTCAGTGACAGGAGGCAATCCATGGCACAGCATTAGCCATTGTCTCCTTGCAGGAGGGATGGCCCTATGGCCAGAGTTTTGGGCTTTCCAAGATATATTAGGCATTTAAGATTGTGCAACTCTAACTGATTTTTTAAATTGGCAACCAATTTCTATAATTTTTTTTTTTTTTGGTCCGGTCGTGGGGCCTGAACTCTGGGCCTGGGCGCTGTCCCTCAGCTCTTCAGCTCACGACTAGCTCTCTACCACTTGAGCCACAGCGCCACTTCTGGCTTTTTTTTCTTTTTGCTTATGTGGTGCTGAGGAATCGAACCCAGGGCCTCAGGCATGCAAGGCAAGCACCTCTACCACTGAGCCACCTTCCCAGCCCACTATAATTTTTTTCATAATTATTAAAGACAAAACAGATTGTGTGTTTTCTGTTTGCCACTGGAAGTTAGGTAGCTCATCCACTACTGGATGTGCTGCTGATCCAATGTCAAGCATTGTACATTACTAAGAGCATATACTCAACATATGAGTGCTGAATATATAAATCAGCATGGATAAGCCTGTCTTGCTTTCAGACTTCTTCATGTAGAATTTGGAGTCAGCCTTCAAGTTTTAGATTTGTCCCCAGCTCTGACTCACAAGATAGGAAGGATCAAGTCAAAACTGAGTCATGCTCCCTGTAGGGACCACCTGTCATGCTCTCTTCCATGCCTCCAAAACACCTAGAGTGCCAGTTTCATATTAAAGCTTGGTTGTAGTCTACAAGTTAAGATTTAAGAATAGTAACTTTATACTGCTATGTTGCAAAACAAGAGTGATTTGGTTTAGCATGCTTTTCCTTCCTCTTTTGCTTAATTTTTAATTAATTGTATTGTTAATTATATAACAAGAGGTGATGTAGATTCTTAGAAGTACATGGAATTGTTACTCTTAGAAAAACCATTTTTTGGGGAGGGGGGAGGCTGGGAAGGGATGGGAAGGGTAAACAAAGGAGGAGGCTGCAATGCTTGGTAAGAAATGTACGCATTATCCTGCCCATGCAATT